CCCTGTAGGGCCTGGTGGACAGATCTAGGTCGAACCACACCAGCTTGCTGTCGTAGCTGCCGCAGATGACGTTGTCGCCTGCAGGTATTAGTGAAGGGGGCTGGCGCCCGGCCCACAGCCCAGCGCCACCCCACCCCCGCGGCTGGGCGCGCCCCCTCACCTGCAGGGTGCACGGCCAGGCTAGACACCCACTTGCAGTTCGGGAGCAGCTTCTTGGTGAGCTCCTGGCGCAGCAGGTGGTAGAGGCGGACGCTGCGCTGGGTGGCCACGAGCAGGAAGGGCCGCGTGGGGTGGAAGGCCACCCGCTGCACCTGCCCGTGGCTGCGGCGGAAGGGGCTCTGGCTGCGGCGCCGGCTCAGCTGGTGGATCAGCACCTGGGTGTGGCTCGAGGTGGCCAGCACCACGGCCATGTAGTCCCCACGCCCGTGCCAGGTCACCTGAGTCACCGGCTGCGGGAGAGGTTGGCTGGGCAGGTCTCCCTCGGGCCGCCGGCCCCGCCCCGCCCGCGCCGGCCCCACCCACCTGCTCGTGGCACACGCGCAGCCGCAGGCCGCGCCGCCGCTCCTCCTCCGAGGCCTCCAGCCAGCGGGCAGGCTGCTGGACAGGCTCCTCGGGCGGGGTGAAGGCGCCCAGCAGCTGGTCGGTGCTGCCAGCGGCCAGCCGGTCCCCCAGGGCCGGGTTCAGCAGCAGCACGGTGTCCTCTCTGGGGGTGGGAGCAGGCTCAGCCCCTGGGCACACCCCCGGCCCCCCCCCCTCCCGCGCCCCACTCACACGGCGGCAGCGACCAGGCAGACCGCGGGATGGGGGTTCCAGGCCACGCTCCTCACCACGCCCCCCACAGGCAGGGTCCTCATGCAGCGGGCGGTGGCCACCTCCCAGAGCCGCACGCAGCCGTCGTCGGAGCCTGGGCACAGAGGCGGGCTCAGCGCCTGCGCAGGGAGCTCCCCGCCCCCCCAGGCAGCCGGGGACCCCCACACAGGCCCACCTGAAGCCAGCCACTGGCCCCCGGGTGAGACGCTGAGACAGCGCACGAGGTCGCAGTGGCCCCTGTAGACCTGCGAGGGGACCGTTGTTAGCAGGGGGCCGCCCCCACCCCGGTGCCCCCCTGTGCCCCTCGCCTGTGGCCGCTCACCAGGGCCTGGCACGTGGGGAAGGGCTGCAGGTCCCGCGGCCGCGGCAGCTTGGGGATCAGGTCCTCAGGGTCCACGTTCACCTGCGGCGGGATGTCGGTCAGCGCCCGCCCCGCCACCCCGCCCCCTGCCCGCCCCACACCCCACACACCCGCATCTTGCGCTGCCGTGGGCACAGGTAGAGGTCGAGGCAGCGCTCGAAGCGCTCGTGGACAAAGCGGCCGTAGGCGGGCACGACCCGCAGGCTGGCGAAGCGGCGCGGCAGGAAGTTGCGCTTCCTCTCGGCGGGCTCCTGCTGCTCCCACGCCAGGCGCTGCAAGAGGGCGAGGGGTGAGCGCAGGCGCGCGCCGCCGCCCCGGACCCCCGCCACGCCGGCCCACCTCCTCCTCGCTGGGCAGGTACTCGGGCGGCGGGTTGTAGGACTCGGCGTGGCCAGGCAGCGCCAGCTTGGGCGCCGGCACGTGCATCTTGTGGCGGCCCAGCACGGCGTCGGGGTCCTCCTGGGCCCACAGGTCGTAGAAGCGGGGCGTAGGGTCGCGGGGCTTGCGGGGCTGGATCCAGCCCATCTTGATGGCGTGCACCATGCGGGACACCTGCGCGGGGGGCGGGGTCAGGGCGTGGGGGCCGGGCGCGCTCGCGGGGCGGCGGGCGGGAGGTGCCCACCTTCTCCTTCTCCACCAGCGAGGGGATGAAGCTGCGCTTGTCGGCCGGGCGGTTGGTCACCGGGTGGATCATGAGCTCCCCGCTGAAGAAGTCCACGGCGGGCTGTGGGGGGGCCGAGCACCGGGGGTGGGCCAGGGTGCTGGGGTGCCCGCCCCCGACGGCCTCTGCCATACACCTACCTCATAGGGGTCAAAGTTCACATCCCCAAACTGGCCCCTCTGCAGCCGGTGCACCAGGGCCACCTGCTCGTCGGTCAGCCGCACGTCGTGCCCGGTCATCGGGTCCTGCACCGTGCGCCTGGGGAACCGAGGGCCCGGGAGCCTTCAGCCCCGCCCGCGGCCGTGGCCCCGCCCCGCCCACCCGCCCGCCCCGCCCACCAGTAGTCCGGGTCGTCCATCTTGGCCAGAAACTGGTCCAGCTCGTCGCGGGTGCGCAGGGGCTTGTAGATGCGCCTGCCGTCCAGGTCGTAGCCCACGTGGGGAAAGTCATCGTACCACGCCAGGGGCACGTTGCCCACTGTGTTCCGCACATCCTGGGGGCGGCAGGGTCGCGCGTCAGCACTGGACACCCCCACCGCCCCTTCAAGCTCCGGGGGCACAGGGGCGAGGGCGGAGGGCCAGCTCCGGGCTAGCGGGGCGGCAGCACCCAGGCACCCTCCCTGGGGTCTGACGTGGCAGGGCAACCGGCACAGCCCCCGGCCCCCAGGCGCCGAGGCTGCCCCCTCACATTTTCCACTGAAGCGGTGCCAACCCCAGAGCCTCCCCCCGGATTCCTTGGCCGGGGCTCTGGGCAGCCACAGACAGGGGTGACCTCATCGCCCGCGGGCTCCCTCCCCTGGCAGGGCCTTAGGCAGATGTGGGGAGCTACAGACAGGGACGGAGGGAAGACCCCAGTGAGCCACGCTCGGCCTGACGCGACCACTTCCGTGCCCGGTGGGCGCTGGGGCACCCACAGACCCCGGTGACACCCCCCCCCACACACACACACCGCGGGCAAAGCAGCCACATTCCGGGACACATTCCTGGCGGAGGCCCTGCCAGCCACCACCCTCCCTGCGCCAGCCAGGAGCTGAGGCTGCTGCCCAGGCAAGAGAGCCGGAGAGACAGCAGCGGGCAGCCCCGGCCCCTGGCCACAGCCGCCCTGGCGGTGCGCTGCCCCCACCTGGCCGCTCCAGGCCTGCACCTTCAGCCCCTCCCAGCAGGGCCTCTAACTTTGTGCACCCCCCAGGGGGAGGGGGGCCACCTCCAGGTGCCCCCGCGGGGTTTGGGGGGCTCCTCCTGGGAGCGTGCAGACGGATGGCCCCGAACAGAGGCCACTGCTGGCGCCCGAGCTGCAGCCGGGGCGGGCGGAACAGCGGCAGGTGCAGCCCAGGCCTGGGGGGTCTCTGCGGCTGCACCCGGGGCGCAGGAGTCCCGGGGGCCGCGTGCCCCTTTCCAGCCACCTGGCACAGAGGCTCCCGCGCACATGGGAGGGAGCGGCAGACAGGGTGTGGCCAGGCGCCGGCGGGCAGCTGGGTGCACTTGGTCATGCCAGGGGAGGGCAGGGTCGCGAGTGTGACCCTCGGTGCCCCTTGGGGGAGGGGGCCCGGGCCGGGCCCGG